AAACTATCCTCGATTAAGAGAGGTTTAACCTCGACGCAGATGGTAAATGATCAGACTGAAACAGCCATGCAGACCCCCAGATATTGGCATTAGAGGCGGCAAACCTGGGCTGGAAATAAAGAGATAAAGAAGAGAATGACATTCATATGTCGATGAACCCAGCAGAGATGGCTTCGTTAGTCACCCATTCGGCCTGCTAACTAGCCTGCTAGGAAGACCAGCTAGCCAACCATTTGTTACAAACCATGCGGTACAACAGCCGCTTTCACGTTCTTGTTGATGAAATCTGCCGCTATAGCCGGGTCCTCGAATCTGTGCATGGAGCCGTCCGGTAAAGTCAGTCTCAAAACCGCAGGGTAGATGAGGCCGAACTTCACGCCCGGGCAGGTGTGTAGTTGGCGTTTCACAGCTCCAAAGCTAGCCCGCCTCTTAGCCACAGCTGTTGTGTAGTCCGCAAATATCGAGACTCTTTTACCCTTATGTAGAAGAGGGGATGCTTCTCCCGATCTTCTCAGTATGTCGTTGCGGACGTGAAAGAAATGCACCCTGATGACAAATGGTCGTGGGGGTTCTCCATCCCTGGGTCGGCTACGCAGAGTGCGGTGAGCCCGGTCTAGCAATGGCTTCTCCTCTAGCCCGAGCAGCTCCTGAAGTAGCTGGGCCATGTACTCCGTGGGTCTTGGGCCCTCCACTCCCTCCGGTATTCCCAGTAGACGAATGTTGTTCCTCCGCATTCTACTTTCCATATCTTCGCATCTATTATCGAGGAATGCCACCCTAGTTGTCAATGAGCCGACGTTAGCCTCTAGCTCGCTAATGCGAGTGCTGTGGTCTGTAGCCCCTCGCTCCAAATCCGATAAAGTCACCCCATGTGCGTCGAGCTTATTCTGTATACTCTCGATAGATTTTTTAAGCTCGTCTTTGATCGTTGATATCTCTGACCTGAGGTTGGTAGAGAGACAGTCAATTTTTCCGAAAATGTCGGCTTTGAGAGTGCCTATCACGGATTGTAGCATCTCCACAGTCAGTGTTTCCGTGGGGCCGGCATTGGTAGCGTTCGGTGGCGGGGGTGAGTCGGGAGAAGTTGCAGGCTTGTTGCGGCCTGCTCTTGCAGACTCTGTTTTTGGTCGGGTTGATGTCATTACGAATTTAAATTTATTAAACTTGAACTGAGTTGTTTATGGGTCTCTTCAGACGCCTGGGCAAACAGAAATGTATGCAGTTTTGCAAAGTTAAATATATAAATTTGGTCACTAACTCAGGAGCGATAGGGAGACGCGTGCTACATCCTTGGCTTCCAACAGCGCCCCATTTGTCATTTTCAATGATTAGTAATGTTTTAAGCTAGTATTAAAATAGATATGTCCATTTTATATATGATATAATAACTAACAGATTGCATTTTGCACACCCTCCCCCCGTTGCCTCAAGACGAATGGTTTTGACCACTCGAAAGTGTTTGTCCAGTATGAAGGAAGTTGGAGGTAGTTTCGCGAGCCAATGCTAACTATCATTAGCGCAGTGACTGGAAGTCTATAGGCCCATAGCCCATAGCTAGTTAGCAATTGTGCTAGTGCTAGTGAGCAACTTCCTTCAAACAGCACCCAGAGACATGAAAATGGTATCCATGAGTTCATCTGACTCTGGGGAAGTAGATAAAGGCCCTCATTGCCAAAATCCCAAAGTCTCACTTTAATGTGCAATTTAACAATGCTTTTTGTTAACCTATCAAGTACAACATTCTAATTCAAATCCTTATTGGGTAAAACAATGTTATTCCTCCCATTTTCATTTATTCTGGCCACAGCAGCAGGTAGCCTAGCAGTTAAGAGCGTTGGGCCAGTAACTGAAAGGTCGCTGGTTCGAATCCTCCACCTGACTAGGTGAAAAATCTGTTGACGTGCCCTTGATCAAAGCACTTAACCCTAATTGCTCCGGTAAGTCGCTCTGGCTAAGTGTCTAATAAAATGACTAAAATGTAGGAGCAGGATATTTGTGAGAGTCACAGTTGGTAGGGTTTCAGACCTGTCAATTAATTATTGGGGGCGGGATTTTCAGGGAAGGGAGTAGATTAGTAATCTAGTCATTTATTTATAAATGTATTGTGGTAAAACCAAAGAAAAATAGGTGTTCTGTTCATAAATATGGATTCCCCTGTTAAGAAACAGTGTTAAATTAATAATTGTTTATATATTTTCAAAAAAGGTGAGTCCCCCCCAAGCTTTTGCACCTCCACTTTCAGACAGGCGCCTATGACTGTTGCACTCCCGAAGCATTGTCCCATCCCAAAGGCTTTTGGGAATCAGTCAGGCCCTACAACAGGGGTGTCAAACATACGGCCCAATCGGGTCGGTGAGGGGGTCCAATCCGGTCTTCGGGTGGCTTGAGTAAAAAGAAAAAACAACAACAAAATATTTTTTTTGGGGGGGAGGGGGACAAACACAATATACTTTAAAATGACTAAAACCAAATCGAAACTGTGTAGAAATGATAATGGACCAACATTCATACAGTTTTTTGACGGTGTCCAGCTCGCAAATAATCACTGAAATAAAAGCTAGACAGTCAGGGAGCATTGAAAATTCTCAAAATTGAATTTTGATGGCAAGCCAATATAACACATTTTCAGTACAGCCCTCTGGACTTCGTTGAAGCGGCCCTGGGGGGTAAATCAGTTTGACAACACTGCCCTACAATAACCTTTCATCTGGACAGCAGATGGCAGCAATGAGCAAAGTGTTTTGTCCTGAAACAACTCTTCCTCACACACTGTTGTGTCCTTTCATTCTGTCCATCATTTTTCATTTATTAGGAGTCAGATTAGAACACTTATTGTTCTGGGTGAGATGATCTTTTAAAGTAAGCAAATGAGAGTTTGAATGAGAGGACCATTCTGCACATTATGCCACCTGCTGCACCTGACAAATACAGTGCATTCGGAAAGTATTCAGACCCATTGACTTTTTCCACATTTTGTTATGTCAGAGCCTTATTCTAAAATTGATTATTAAATTTTTTCCTCATCAATCTACACACAATATCCCATAATGACAAAGCAAAAACAGGCTTTTGGAAATTTTTGCAAATTTATTTTATTTGGGGAGTTTCTCCAATTCTTCTCTGCAGATCCTCACAAGCTCTGTCAGGTTGGATGGGGAGCGTCGCTGCACAGCTATTTTCAGGTTTCCCCGGGCTCTGGCTAGGCCACTCAAGAACATTCATAGACTTGTCCCGAAGCCACTCCTGCGTTGTCTTGGTTGTGTGCTTAGGATCGTTGTCCTGTTGAAAGGTGAACCTTCGCCCTAGTCTGAGGTCCTGAGCGCTCTGGAGCAGGCTTTCATCAAGGATCTCTCTGTACTTTGCTCCGTTCATCTTTCCCTTGATCCTGACTAGTCTCCCAGTCCCTGCCGCTGAAAAACATCCCCACAGCATGATGCTGCCACCACCATAGGGATGGTGCCAGGTTTCCTCCAGACGTGACACTTGGCATTCAGGCCAAAGAGTTCAATCTTGGTTTCATCAGACCAGAGAATCTTGTTTCTCATGGTCTGAGAGTCTTTAGGTGCCTTTTGGCAAACTCCAAGCGGGCTGTCGTGCCTTTTACTGAGGAGTGGATTCCGTCTGGCCACTCTACCATAAAGGCCTGATTGGTGGAGTGCTGCAGAGATGGTTGTCCTTCTGGAAGGTTCTCCCATCTCCACAGAGGAACTCTGGAGCTCTCTTAGAGTGACCATCAGGTTCTTGGTCACCTCCCTGACCAAGGCCCTTCTCCCCCGATTGCTCAGTTTGGCCGGGCGGCCAGCTCTAGGAAGAGTATTGGTGGTTCCAAACTTCTTCCTTTTAAGAATGATGGAGGCCACCGTGTTCTTGTGGACCTTCAATGCAGCAGAAATGTTTTGGTACCTTTCCCCAGATCTGTGCCTCGACACAATCCTGTCTCAGAGCTCTCCGGACAATTCCTTCGACCTCATGGCTTGGTTTTTGCACTGTCAACTGTGGGACCTTATATAGACAGGTGTGCCTTTCCAAATCATGTCCAATCAATTGAATGTATCACAGGTGGACTCCAATCAAGTTGTAGAAACATCTCAAGGATGATCAATGGAAACAGGATGCACCTGAGCTCAATTTCGAGTCTCATAGCAAAGGGTCTGAATACTTATGTAGATAAGGTATCTGTTTTTTATTTGTAAGAAATTAGCAAAAAAAATCTAAAAACCAGTTTTCGCTTTGTCATTATGGGGTATTGTGTGTAGACTGATGAGGAAATGTTTTTATTTAATCAATTTTAGAATAAGGCTGTAACGTAACAAAATGTGGAAAAGGGGAAGGGGTCTGAATACTTTCCGAATGCCCTGTAGATGTAAGGAACAGATCTACCATTCTACACACCAATGTCCAACCCATGGAAGGATTTGTGCTTCTCCCGATCTCCAATCTATCTGGCCAGGCACTCTGTGTGTGTGTATGGGGGTTAGTGTCAAGACGAGCCCCAACAGATAAGATAAACTGGTGCGAAGGCCTGCCCCCCTGGGCCCTGAGCCAATCTCTCCAAATGGCCTCCGTTGGTTGTCGGATTCCTATCTGACACCGCCAGCGTCCGGGGCTACCTCCCTCAACCCCCCTTCTTCCCCACCCTAACCTCCCCATCTCCACATTGACAGGACACTGTCACACTGTGTCTGAGTTATGGGCTGTGAGGACTCACCCTGTCAGAATCCTACACACAGGACCCTACACATAGAGAGGATGCGAAATGGGAGTTGACCTGAGTTTGTGAGAAGTTTGGAATTGGACCAGACGGGAAGAGAGGGCAGTGAAAGGGTGTGCATGGTCGGATAGAGGAAACTGAGACAGAACTCCCATTCTTTCAGAGTGGCCCACTTAGAGGAGCAGAAATATTGTAGCGGGGGCTCTTGAGTGGCAGGGCTAAGGTGACACACACACACACACACACACACACACACACACATCAGTCAGAGAAAAGGTATGAGACGTACCTTGTGCAACAGGTTCCTGAGGCAGGTGACCTCTTTCTGCAGGTCTCCAGTCTGGGCCACCAGCTCATTACAGATGGCCTGGGCTTCCTTCTTAGGATTCAGGGACAACACCAGCTGGGGAGTGAAAAGGGGGAGAGAGGAGAGGGAGAGAGTTTGTGGAGCTGGAGAGAGTCCAGTCCAAAGGACAACCACAAGCTCCTACAATACACCTTGGCACTTGTTTGGATCTGAAAGGAATTGGATAGGTGTAGGCAATATGGCTAGATTTAATAGTGAGCTTTCAGTTAGACACTAGCACTTATTGATCAGTCCTTAGACTGGTACACACAAACACACACATACCTCAGAGGCCCGTTGGGGGAAGCGGCTGATGACGTCCTGCACGGTCTCTATCAGGTAACAGCACTGCTGATCAGGAAGTTATACAGCTCCTCACTCCTATAGCGAAGGACACAGACACCACTATTAGACAGCTTCTCACTTATAGTAGATGACAATGAGCCAAAACCTCAAACAGGAAATGGTGGTGGTACACTTCCAGCCAACTCAGTATTGATGAGTCTCTTCGCACCTCAACCCCAAGTGTGTTTAAGTGTGACTGTCTGAGCTTAATTGTGTGTGAAGGTGGGTGAGCAGCACAACCCGTGTCCACAACGCATTCCAGCCCCTCTCAACTATACCCCATACAATACATTACAGTACAGTACATCTAAACCAGGAGGGAGAGAAAGAGAGGCTGCCTGCAACAGACAGACATCTCCCTCTATCTTCCCCTCTGCTCTCCTATCCCTGTACTAAGTGTTGCAGCGAGAGCCTATCGGTCTTTGGTGTTAGATAAACTAACAGAGCTATAGTCCCAGGTCCCGGGAGGAGATAGTAACTCCAATCTGACTGACACTGTTTACACGGCAAGCTGACAGAGTGTGAGCATCACAAAACGGCTGCTACACATGCAGGGAAAGGTACCATTAAGATAAAATAACCCATCAACAAACACAGGGCAGCAGAGCGATGGCAGAAAAAACAAAATGAAGCCTTGATGAACATGATGTACAAGTCATTTGGATGTGACACCATTTTTTTTTCTCAAAAAAATGTTTTCTTCTTCATATTATACTGTAGTTTTGAGTTATGAGGGGACATACTGGACATTTGCCACACACAGGGTCTTATGTCTTTTTATTTGCCTGTTGTGTAGAGGTCAGTTGGTTTACTCTGTCTGTCAGTTGTCCCCCGGTATGAAAATCTCTGTTCCCCTGTCCACCCATCTGTCTGTCAGTCCATTTTGTCATGTACTGCAGATGGAAAGCTGTCTAACATACACTACATGGCCAAAGGAATGTGGACAACCTTTCAAATTAGTGGATTTGGCTATTTCAGCCACATCCATTGCTGACAGGTGTATACAATTGAGCACACAGCCATGCAATCTCCATAGACAAACATTGGCAGTAGAATGGCCTTACTGAAGAGCTTAGTGACTTTCAACGTGGCACCATCATAGGGTGCCACCTTTCCAACAAGTCAGTTCGTCATTTCTCTGCCCTGCTAGAGCTGCCCCGGTCAACTGTAAGTGCTGTTATTGTGAAGTGGAAACGTCTAGGAGCAACAATGGCTCAGCTGCGAAGTGGTAGGCCTCACAACCTCACAGAACGGGACCGCTGAGTGCTGAAGCCTGTCGCGCATAAACATAATCTGTCCTCGTTTGCAACACTCACTACCGAGATCCAAACTGCATCTGGATGCAACGTCAGCACAATAACTGTTTGTCGGGAGCTTCATGAAATGGGTTTCCATGGCTGAGCAGCTGCACACAAGCCTAAGATCACAATGCGCAATGCCAAGTGTCGGTTGGAGAGGTGTAAAGCTCGCCGCCATTGGACTCTGGAGCAGTGGAAACGCGTTCTCTGGAGTGATGAATCACGCTTCACCATCTGTTAGTCCGACGGACAAATCGGGGTTTGGTGGATGCCAGGAGAACGCTACCTGCACGAATGCATAGTGACAACTGTAAAGTTTGGTGGAGGAGGAATAATGGTCTGGGGCTGTTTTCCATGGTTCGAGCTAGGCCCCTTAGTTCCAGTGAAGTGAAATCTTAACGCTACAGCATATAATGACATTCTAGACCATTCTGTGCTTCCAACTTTGTGGCAACAGTTTGGGGAAGGCCCTTTTCAGCATGACAATACCCCTGTGCACAAAGCGAGGTCCATACAGAAATTATTTGTCAAGATCGGTGTGGAAGAACTTGACTGGCCTGCACAGAGCCCTGACCTCAACCCCATCGAACACCTTTAGGATTAATTGGAATGCCAACTGCGAGCCAGGCCTAATCCCCCAACATCAGTGCTGAACTCACTAATGCTCTTGTGGCTGAATGGAAGCAAGTCCCCGCAGCTATGTTCCAACATCTAGTGGAAAGCCTTCCCAGAGGAGTGGAGGATGTTATAGCAGCAAAGAGGGGACCAACTCCATATTAATTCCCATGATTTTGGAATTAGATGTTCGATGAGCAGGTGTCCACATACGTTTGGCTATGTACCAGCCCAACTAGAACATGAAATAGGCCACATCAATACAACCCGGGTGAACTCTGAACAAGTGTAGCCACTACGTCCTGGGATGAGCATACAGCATAAGGGATGTGGTTAGCTAGTGGTTTAATGTTTACAGTGTGGCCATCATCAGAGGATTTAACCCTGGGGATGTACAGTCTCTGTAAATGTAGCCCTGTACCCCTGACACTAAAGTACAGTAGAGTAAAGGGGAGGACATGGCCATAAGGCCTCAGGATTCATGACATGAGGGGCTGCAGGCAGACATGGTAGCTTGGCCTGAGAGCTGGCCTGTCATCAGTCACAGAGAGAGTGGAAAGGGAGGGGGGTGGGGGGGTGAAGAGGGGATTTCCTTCCATCTCCTCTCACCTTACAAATCATTATGGCCCGCTTAAACCATTAGGACTCTGCTCTGCTCTCAGAGACTCAAAGAGGCTGTGGGAGAATAACAGTGGGATGGATCCTCTGTCTGACGGATGACTTCCATAGCTGGAGGATGGACTGTGTATAGGATGTGGGGATGATGCTGAGACATCGCTGGTGGGGAGGGGGTCCTGAATGTAATGTAATGTCTGAATGCTGGAGAGAGGATGTCCATTGCAGGGTTTCCCAACCTCTCCTCGGGCCCCCCCAGATGTTTCACCTGATTCAATTAGTCAACTAATCATCAAGCCCTTGACTAATTGAGTCAGGTGTGCCAGTTTAGGGTTAAAACTAAAATGTGAAATGTCTGGTGGGGCCGAAGAGAGGGTTTGGAAACCCTGGTCTTTAGGCTTATGTGTTGCATGTATAATGCATGTGTAAACTTGGAAGGGATTACTCAAATAGAAAGAAAAAAATATTTGTACTGTACCCGCTGTTTATGTTCTCAAGCTGGCTGAGTGTGTCCAGTTCGACCCGGTCCAGATGCATCTCCTTCACCGCACTCAGAACCTTCTGCTGGTGCTCTGGGTCGGAGATACCAATCTGGGGAGGAATGCAGTATTAACACCTGGAAAACTCTCCGGCAACCCTAAGTTAGCCAGGGTTTACATTATATCATCACAATATTACAGATGTACATTACAGTACATTAGTCACTGCACTCATACTTGAATTGTGTCTCTTCTAATAATCCCTTCTGAAAATGTCTAGTGTAAATGTGGCACAGTTGCAAACCTAACAGACAGACAGACAGACAGACAGACAGACAGACAGAGAGGCCTTTCTTACCTTCTCCAGGTCATCCTTCTCCATGGTCAACAGGTAGCTCCAAGTGATGTCATTTTCATGCCCAGAAAACAAATTATACTCTGCATTAAAAGAATATCTATATAATATGACAGCTTCAAAACCTGTCCCGCACCCTGAACAGATGTACGTTACAGTATGTGTTTGTGTAGCTACCTGCTACCAGTATGCAAATCTACGGAGAGAACTCAAATATTCAAGCCCCTTGGGTGCTGCCATAACATTACATTAAAAGTGCCCATCAAATAAGGCTCAAGGTCATTGGCCACATATAAAATGACATCAAATCAAATTTTATTGGCCACATGCGCCGAATACAACAGGTGCAGACATTACAGTGAAATGCTTACTTACAGCCCTTAACCAACAGTGCATTTATTTTTAATAAAAAAGTAAAATAAAACAACAACAAAAAAGTGTTGAGAAAAAAGAGCAGAAGTAAAATAAAATAACACTAGGGAGGCTATATATACAGGGGGGTGCCGGTGCAGAGTCAATGTGCGGGGGCACCGGCTAGTTGAGGTAGTTGAAGTAATATGTACATGTGGGTAGAGTTAAAGTGACTATGCATAAATAATTAACAGAGTAGCAGCAGCGTAAAAAGATGGGGTGGGGGGGGCAGTGCAAATAGTCCGGGTAGCCATGATTAGCTGTTCAGGAGTCTTATGGCTTGGGGGTAGAAGCTGTTGAGAAGTCTTTTGGACCTAGACTTGGCACTCCGGTACCGCTTGCCATGCGGTAGCAGAGAGAACAGTCTATGACTAGGGTGGCTGGAGTCTTTGACAATTTTGAGGGCCTTCCTCTGACACCGCCTGGTATAGAGGTCCTGGATGGCAGGAAGCTTGGCCCCAGTGATGTACTGGGCCATACGCACTACCCTCTGTAGTGCCTTGCGGTCGGAGGCCAAGCAGTTGCCATACCAGGCGGTGATGCAACCAGTCAGGATGCTCTCGATGGTGCAGCTGTATAATTTTTTGAGGATCTGAGGACCCATGCCGAATCTTTTCAGTCTCCTGAGGGGGAATAGGCTTTGTCGTGCCCTCTTCACGACTGTCTTGGTGTGTTTGGGCCATGATAGTTCGTTGGTGATGTGGACACCAAGGAACTTGAAGCTCTCAACCTGTTCCACTACAGCCCCGTCGATGAGAATGGGGGTGTGCTCAGTCCTCTTTTTTTTCCTGTAGTCCACAATCATCTCCTTTGTCTTGGTCACGTTGAGGGAGAGGTTGTTATCCTGTCACCACATGGCCAGGTCTCTGACCTCCTCCCTATAGGCTGTCTCATCGTTGTCGGTGATCAGGCCTACCACTGTTGTGTCGTCGGCAAACGTAATGATGGTGTTGGAGTCGTGCCTGGCCATGCAGTCATGGGTGAACAGGGAGTACAGGAGGGGACTGAGCACGCACCCCTGAGGGGCCCCCGTGTTGAGGATCAGTGTGGCAGATGTGTTGTTACCTACCCTTACCACCTGGGGGCGGCCCGTCAGGAAGTCCAGGATCCAGTTGCAGAGGGAGGTGTTTAGTCCCAGGATCCTTAGCTTAGTGATGAGGGCACTATGGTGTTGAATGCTGAGCTGTAGTCAATGAATAGCATTCTCACGTAGGTGTTCCTCTTGTCCAGGTGGGAAAGGGCAGTGTGGAGTGCAATCGAGATTGCATCATCTGTGGATCTGTTGGAGCGGTATGCAAATTGGAGTGGGTCTAGGGTTTCTGGGATAATGGTGTTGTGAGCCATGACCAGCCTTTCAAAGCACTTCATGGCTACAGACGTCAGTGCTACGGGTCGGAAGTCATTTAGGCAGGTTATCTTAGTGTCCTTGGGCACGGGGACTATGGTGGTCTGCTTGAAACATGTTGGTATTACAGACTCAGTCAGGGACATGTTGAAAATGTCAGTGAAGACACTTGCCAGTTGGTCAGCACATGCTCGGAGTACACGTCCTGGTAATCCGTCTGGCCCTACGGCCTTGTGAATGTTGACCTGCTTAAAAGTCTTACTCACATCAGCTACGGAGAGCGTGATCACATAGTCATCCGGAACAGCTGGTGTTCTCATGCATGCTTCAATGTTGCTTGCCTCGAAGCGAGCATAGAAGTGGTTTAGCTCGTCTGGTAGGCTTGTGTCACTGGGAAGCTCGCGGCTGTGCTTCCCTTTGTAGTCTGTAATAGTTTTCAAGCCCTGCCACATCCGACGAGCGTCAGAGCCGGTGTAGTACAATTCAATCTTAGTCCTGTATTGACTCTTTGCCTGTTTGATGGTTCGTCGGAGGGCAACAGCGGGATTTCTTATAAGCGTCCGGGTTAGAGTCCCGCTCCTTGAAAGCGGCAGCTCTACCCTTTAGCTCAGTGCGGATGTTTCCTGTAATCCATGGCTTCTGGTTGGGGTATGTACGTACGGTCACTGTGGGGACGACATCATCGATGCACTTATTGATGAAGCCAGTGACTGATGTGATGTACTCCTCAATGCTATCTGAAGAATCCCGGAACATGTTCCAGTCTGTGCTAGCAAAACAGTCCTGTAGCTTAGCATCTGCGTCATCTGACCACTTTTTTATTAGCCGAGTCACTGGTGCTTCCTGCTTTAGTTTTTGCTTATAAGCAGGAATCAGGAGGATAGAGTTATGGTCAGATTTGCCAAATGGAGGGCGAGGGAGAGCTTTGTATGCATCTCTGTGTGTGGAGTAAAGGTGGACTAGAGTTTTTTTTCCTCTGGTTGCACATTTAACATGCTGGTAGAAATTAGGTAGAACGGATTTAAGTTTCCCTGCATTAAAGTCCCCTGCCACTAGGAGCACTGCCTCTGGATGAGCGTTTTCCTGTTGACTTATGGCCTTATACAGCTCATTCAGTGCAATCTTAATGCCAGCATTGGTTTGTGGTGGTAAATAGACAGCTATGAAAAATATAGATGAAAACTATCTTGGTAAATAGTGTGGTCTACAGCTAATCATAAGATACTCTACCTCAGGCGAGCAAAACCTCGAGACTTCCTTAGTATTTGATTTTGTGCACCAGCTGTTGTTTACAAATATACACAGACCGCCACCCCTTGTCTTACCGGAGTCAGCCGTTCTATCCTGCCGATATAGCGTATAGCCCGCTAGCTGTATGTTATCCATGTCGTCGTTCAGCCACGACTCGGTGAAACATAAGATATTACAGTTTTTAATGTCCCGTTGGTAGGATAACCGTAATCTTAGGTCATCCAATTTATTTTCCAATGATTGAAGATTGGCTAATAGGATTGATGGGAGCGGCAGTTTACTCGCTCGCCGTCGGATCCTTACAAGGCACCCCGACCTACGTCCACGATATCTCTGTCTCTTCCTCATGCGAATGACGGGGATTTGGGCCTTGTCGGGTGTCTGTAGGATGTCCTTCGCGGCCGCCTCGTTGAAGAAAAATTATTCGTCCAATACGAGGTGAGTAATCGCTGTCCTGATATCCAGAAGCTCTTTTTGGTTATAAGAGACGATGGCAGAAACATTATGTACAAAATAAATTACAAATAACGCGGAGAAACACACATAATAGTACAATTGGTTAGAGGGCTGTAAAACGGCAGCCATCTTCTCCGGCGCCATTTTGGTTATATCTACCGTAGCTTTGATTGGACTGATCATGTCAACATCATACTTTCAAAATCTTAGCTAGCAAGCTAGACATGCAATCATCACCATGAATCACGCCGACAATCTACTGGCAAATCCTTTTCAATCCTTGTCATATGAATAGAAACTATAGATAAAAGGTATCGGTGCTCATCGGCCATTGGACATAAACATTATACAAGTTGGAAATCGCAAATTCAACAATAAGTGGTTTGGAAGGAATCAGAGGCTAACTGCAAGCGTTGCAAAGCAATCACTAGCCTGCTATTCAGTGGAGTGAGTGTGTGGTCCAACTCTGGGTTTAAGGGTCTCTTTTCCAAGATTAAAACGGTAAACATTCAACACCATGGGCTAGAAAAGTTTGAATACATTGGCCATGCTATCAATCCAGCATGATTTCTGTCGCGTTCAAAACAACTGGAAACTCGGAAATGGGAAATATCAGACTTCAGTGAGTTCAAGAAAACTGGGAACTCTGAAAAAAACGAGATCCAACTGGGAAAATACATTTTGAATGGTCATCCAACTCGGAATTCCAAATCGGGAACTCAAGCCTCTTTCTAGAGCTCTGACCTGAAGATCACTGAAGTCGTGATTCGACCTTGATTTTTTTCAGAGTTCCCAGTTGTCTTGAAAGCACCATAAATCCAGAGAATGCCAGACTTTGATGACAAAATCTGCCCACAAGGACCGCCGCGCCACCTTCCTGTTCAAGTGAGCACAGCACAACAAGGTGAGTCCAAAAATATATCGTATGCTGCTGCATAAATGATATTTATACTGTAGCTAAGAAAGTAATACTTAGTGTATGTTTTGTAGTAAGATGTTAGTAGCCCATGTGTCTCACCTTAAAAATTTAGTCCCTTACCCCTCATAACTTAGTCTACTGTTCAGACATGGTGGTGCATATAACCTGTTTTAGAGAAATGTAATCATCGAATATTGTAAGAGTTTTCATTGTCTGCTTATATGCACCCTTTATTTATCCTACGGTTCTGACTTGGTGTACAGGGAGAATACTGTAAGAACGGCCCAGGTTCTGAATTCTGTCGCTGTACATTTCAAAAGTGCTGAACAAATAGTTATATTGACTACGTCCGTCCTAGCTCACTCATTAATGTCTTAATCAAAATTACGTCTTGCCTCTTATCCGCTTGTCGTCCCCTTATGCCATAGTTTGTACATCTCAATTTTCAGTAGAAACCACATTTGTTTAAGCAAGTCAGCTTAAACAAGATGTTCTTTACCATTCGGCCATCAGATTTGCCGCTAATGCTCCTTATAGGACACATCCTAGGCATTGAAATACATCCACAGGTACACCTCCAGTTGACTGAAATTATGTAAATTAGCCTATCAGAAGCTTCTAAAGCCATGATATCATTTTCTGGAA